CCGGGAAAGGGGCACTAGAATTGGTCCTTTCCAAAGGCGAAAAGTCCGAGGGTTGGAACATGCAGACAGTTGGGAGTACTGGCAGTGGTTCAGGTCAATTGAAAGTTATAACACTTAAGTGAACGTTTTGCACTTAAATAAGCACCGTACGAAAATTATAGCATTTGGAGTGTCCTTATTCCCAATTTGTGTCATTCCCGTCAAAGAAACAAGGCATAGCCAGGTACCGAAAATGAAATCTTGGGAACACCAAGTACTAATACTGTAATTTCCTCAATATTTGATATCCACTGAGAACGAGTTGCATGTTGTTGAGTTTGTCAAAAGTCAAGTCTACAAGAAGCCGAGGCCACCGGGAGCAAACGGCTTTTTACTCCATTTTAGAGTTGACCTAGACTCGACTAGGTAATGCAAATCGTCGGTACTATTCAAACCCATTGATCTTCTACCGATTGAATTAGATGATGCAAATTGTTGGTGAGGTCAATGAGGGATTTTCGCTGGCATTAAGGTTAAGACAAATTGGTTAAAAGAAAAATGTTTTGCACATTTGAAGACCATAACATTTGAATCGCACCAACATTGCATATTCTCAAAATTCTATTTCTTTTTGTTTTTGGTACGTTTAGCTAAGAGCAGGGGGTAGAGCAAATTTCTTTCGTATTTTTGTATTTTTCCCCTGATTCTTTCGTCGATAGATCTAATTCTATATATCTTTGTGTTCCTAAATTGTGGATCACCTCCTTAAAAGTCAGTTTCTCTCCTCTCGCCCTTTCGAGAGATTTTTACAGGCTATCGGAGCAAGTTTTTCATCCATCCATGTGAATCCTCGTGGGAATTGCCAGTCTCGGAAGCTAGTGCATGAAAAAACCTCATAATATTCAGTATATGATTATTTGTCTAAATAATAGGGATGTAGCGTTCCAAAAGCACCTAAAATGTCTCTTCCTTTCGAGTGCACTAGTCGATTAAGTAACGGTATTGCAACCACTTGCTGAGTGTCCTGAGGTTAACTTTTACAATTTCGAACGAATGTGGCAGGTACTGGAAATTCATTAAATCGGTGACACGGGAGATTTTGATGAAGTTGAAGATAAAAGATAAATACGTCGCCAAGCATTTAGACAGAATGGATGATCGAGTGGAAGCCATTGTGATGTTGTTGGACGTGGACTCTAGGGGCGCACGCTTTGTGCTAATCCATGGAATGGGTGGAATCGGTAAAACGACTCTAGCTAAGGTCGTGTTCAACAAATTAAATTCCCTCTTCAGTCATTGCTGCTTCCTGGGAAATGTCCGGGAATCATTGCTCAGCTTTGGCCTCGTAACTTTATAGAAAAAACTATTGTCTAACATGTTTGGTGCGGGCTTTCCCGATGGAATCAACGATGCTGACGATGAGATCAAGGTTATTGTGTAGCGACTTTCTAACAGGAAAGTCTTCATTGTTCTCAACGATGTGGATGATGAGGAACAACTCGAGAAACTAGCCATCAAGCATGTTTCATTCGGCCTAGGAAGCAAAATTATTATTACAACCAGGAACAAAAGTATCGTACATGCTAACCAAATTTTGGAGTGCGAAGTGAAGCCGTTGGATTCCGTTCAATTGCTTGAGCTTTTTAGTAGACATGCTTTTGGATGAAATTGTCCTCCAAACGATTATGTTGATCGTTCGAGAGAAGTAGTTTCGACAACCGGAGGACTTTCCTTGGCTCTTGAAGTCATAGGTTCATTACTTGGTCACCAAAACAAAGCCTTATGGACAGATGTACTTGACAATCTAAGGGAAATACCTCATGAGAAGGTCTAGGACAAATTGAAGATCAGCTACAATGCCCGCAGTCCTTAGCAAAAACAGATCTTTCTCGACATCGCATGTCTCTTTATGGACGAAGACAAAACGAATGCATTCTACATGTGGAAAGATTGTAGGTTTTTGCCAGATTATTCGACTCAAGTCCTTGTTTGCATTTTGTTGATAAAGATAACAGATGACAACAAATTCTGGATGCATGACCAGCTGAGAAATCTTGGGAGGAAAATAGTTTGTGAAGATATGAGGCCGATGGATCCAAGAAAGCAGAGCAGGTTCTGGGTTCCTGAGACATCCGTTAGTATCATAAGAACAGAAGAGGTGACTGTTGAATTATATACTTTTCTCTTGCTCATTAATTAGGAGCCCTTAACTTTTTTTTAAGAGAGAGAGAGAGAGAGAGAGAGAGAAGACATTTTGCATCTACTCTAGTACTACTTTAACGTTGCATGGTAGAGAAAGGAGGCTATTAAAGTAGTCTGCTTACATGGAAACGAACCAGAAATTTATACGAGCGAAGAGTTTTCAAGGCTTCCAAACGTAAGGTTCCTCAAATTACGTTGGGGACAGTTAGATGGGGACTTTGAGAATCAGCTGTCAAGGTCAAGATACATGTCTTGGCTAAGGTGTCCTCAAGAGCTCTTGGCCATCTATTTCCATCCAACCAATCTTGTAGTTCTTAACTTGTCTTATAGTTCCATCATGAAGTACCGGGCTGGATGGAGTCAAATCAAGGTACGATCCATTGCTATTTGCTTGAATCCATCTCAATTGAATTTTCTCATGTAGAGCTTTTTCTTTTTCTTTTTAAACTGCAATTGACTACACGCAATTATATAGGTAATAACCCTTATAAAAATTCTGACAAAAAAAAAACCCTTGTAAATACAGTGGGTCAGATTTGATAGGTGTAAGTACTTAAATGAATGGGTTTGTATGGGTTAAATGGGCTAAATGAGCCCACCCAATTACAACTCAATTCCAACACAATCATTTACTGGCTCTAAATTCACATGGAATTTTCCCTTTACTATCTTTCAGTTATTGTAACAGGTTGCTAAGAAGCTTAAAGTTATGGATCTCACAAACTGTAACAACATGACCAGGACTCCAAAGTTCTTTGATTATTTGAGGTTAGAGAGATTGATCCTTAAAAGTTGCAAAAGACTGATTGAGGTTGATGGTTCCCTGGAAAAGCTTAAATGCCTGATTTACTTCAATGTGGATGGGTGTACAAGTCTTAAAGAGTTGCCCGAAGGAATCGGACGGTTAGAGAAGCTCAAGTACTTGTATTTAGGTAATTGCAAAAAGTTGAGCAAGCTACCTGAATCATTTGCGAGAGTGGCATCACTGGTTGAGTTGGATCTCTCATACACGGTAATCACAAGATTACCCGACTCCATTAGTAACCAAAAGCGCTTGTCAGTACTTAAACTGCAATCTACAAAAATCGATGAACTTCCGAACTCTATTGGGAACCTACGGGAAGTCTCTCTTTCTATCATGTATTAAAATAAGGAAACTCCCCGTCTCGATTGAGAACTTGGAATCACTACTTGAGTCGGATGTCTCATGAGCACGATGTCTTCGGTTGCCTGAATCTATCATAGACCTAAGTAGATTAAAAGTTGTGAACATTTCAAGTTCTTGGATAAGGGAGCTACCGAGGAGTATTGTCATGCGAAAAGACTTGGAAGAGCTACATTGCAGGGACTGCTATCTTCTCAAATGGGAAATTCCCGAGGACATTTGGAAGTTATCACTTTTGAGAGTCCTTCACTTGCAAGTAACCTCTATTAGAAATGTTCCAGTGATGATCAAATTACTTCCTCTCCTAGAGAAATCGAGTTTATGGCGTTGCAGCGAACTTGAAGTATTGTTTAAGCTTCCCACAAGTTTGATAAGCCTGAGCTTTGGATCAAATTCGCTGCGGTGGCTCCCGGATCTCTCCAACCTAACTAAATTGATGGATTTGAGTTATGGTGGTAATGATGAGAATTGTTGTCCTTTGTTCTTCCAAGATGGTCAATACCAACAATCCCTCACGTTCCTTCCACCGTCTCTATCAACAGTGTCACTCGAATATCATGTATCAATAAGCAGTTTGTTGTTTTGTTGCAACTTGAGAAACTTAATACGTTTGCGCATTTATGAATGTTGGTGGACAGAAGTTCAACTCGATGGGCTTGAGTGGCTGATTGAATTTCAAGTGGAAGGGTCAAAATTCCTTGAGGGATTTGCCAGTCTTTCGAGGTTGAAGAGATTGAAGCCGTTGACACTGATTGATGGCCCAAATTTAACTGCGATCCACGGTCTAGGTTCGTTGGAGTCGTTGGAACAATTGGAAATAAACTATTGTCCTAAGATTGAAAGTCTGGATGATCTATCGGATTTGAAAAAGCTGCGGTCCTTGTCAATTGGAGGATGCGATGAGCTTCTGGCAGTTAAGGGCCTGGATGAACTAACGGCTCTCAAAGATTTGGAATTTATGGGTTGCAGGTCATTGAGAAGTTTCTCTAATATACTCAATTGGAAAGTACCAGACGAGTGCTTTGTAAGTATTCGCGACTGCCCAAATTTAGTACATTCGTTTCATGGCAGAGTCAGCGGGTCCAAGCAAAGTCCGGGAAGAAAGAGGGAAGAAAAGAAGGATCGTCGGGCCTCATCAGCATCGCCCTCGTCACGTCCAGCGCCTAGAACCTCTTCCCCCCCCTTCGTCCCGATCCCTCTGGCCTTCTCCATCTCCTCCATCTGCACGTTCTTGAACCCCCACTCGTAGCCCCCCAGGTCGATCTCACCCTCGCGCTAGGGGCTCGTCCGTGTGCACGCCCCGCCCATGTCCCACATCCTGTTCTCGAAGCGTGCCGGTGAGACCGTCCTCAGGAACGTAATCATCGTTGTCCCCCTGCTGCTGTGCTGCTCGCATCTGTTGATGTGGCTGAGCGCAGCGCGGAAGGACATGCACGGCGCATGCTCGGGGCCGTAGGAGGTGACGTTGGGCTCGTTGCAATAGACGTAGTGCGCAAGGAGGTTCTGCTCGTTGAGGTAGATCTTCCTGAAGAACCATTCTGGAGATCTCGTGCGCAGTGGTGATGTCCGCAGTGGTGATCTCGTGCGCCCATTCTGGAGATGATTTTTAGGAGTTCGCTTTCATGTTTATTGGCTTGTTGGTTTTGAGTGATCTTCATAATTCGGAGTGTTGTCCTTCCTTCAATTTGCGATCCACACATATTTGGTGATATTTTTCGTTTTGTAGTTTATCTTAAATTGTTTCACATGTTTTTATCGTTATTATATATCGTGGAAGCCAAGCGATTAAATAATAAAATAAACAGAATAAAAAAATAAATCGGACATTAGATTTACGTGATTTCATCGTAATGACTTACGTTCACGGGGAGAGTAGCAACGAATTCCATTGTAGATCAAGCGATACAATGGAGATTATAACTTCGAGTTACTCAAACACTTTCGATATTTTTCAAGCCTCAATTACACCCAATAATTCTCGCGGTGTTTAGCCCAATAATTCTTTACGAAATAATTTCTCAATCTCATAAAAGAATTAACATAAATTTTTACCACGGGAATTTAATCGACTTCGGCACTAGCTAATGTTGTAATTCCACGAACAGTACTTTCACCGAATGTGAAAGACCCGAAGAGCCCACTCTCCGCACACAGAACGGCGGCTTCTGTTTATATCTTTTCTTTTCTCAACCAAGCCTTTGGAGTGTGTGTGTGTGTATACCTGAAGAAGTCCAATTCGGTCAGAGCACAATCCAATTCAAGTTGACCGAATATTCTCCACGTCTGACTTTCCTTTTTTTCTATTATTATTATTTCTTCTTTCCACTCAGCAACAAAGAAGATTGTTTACCTTCTCTCTTTTGTTCTTAGCCGATTGTTGAACGAGTCAATATCTATCTCAAAGTCCCAGGTGGTCTTTCCAATTCAGCCCAACGACTCCGATGCATATTCGAAAAGCTAATTTTTGAAACTTGGTCTTGGATTTTTTTCTTTATTTCAATTCAAAATTCTGAAATTCATATTTTCGCTTTGGGTCCTAAATTCGAGACATATTTTAACATTATGAAAGCTCACGTAGTGCTTCCAACAATGCTTTCACCATCTAGAAAGGTACACACAATTTTTTTTCGCATATGTAGAACTGTATTTTCAGTTTGGATCCCAATAATTGTCCAAATTCTTTTAAATGCTAAAATTTAAAAATCTCTTCTTCTTTTTTTTCGCAATTGAGGAGAGAGAAGGAAATATCAACAGCATTATTTCTACCTCTTATAACATATGCAAGTACTATTTGCTTAATGTCGATCTTAGTGGCTAATTTAAGATCGGTGAATATTATATTTAACACGTTTCTCGCGTTATATTTACACTTTGAATTTACATGATAGACACTAAATTTAGCAGTCCATTGCTATTTAGAAGCAATTGACTTTTGATTTAGATCTTCACTTGTTGTTCTAAGAAATATATTCACTTGTGGTATGTGAGCAAAAGCAAGTCAATATCACTTTTGTCAGTCCTATCATATTCGTAACTTCTTTTGTTATCCCATTTTCACTAAAACGTAGGAAGTTCATTCGTGGCAAGATGTGCTGGGAAAAGATGGTCTGCCAACAGAGGATGTCATCATTTTTCCACCGTAGCAATCACCCGAATTGATTATTTTTCACGTTTCCTTGGAAGGTTCGGTTACTAATGAAACAAACAGAAGGTTCGGTTACTATGGAAGTTTATACATCTCGTGGATAGAAGTTACGTAACATTTGTATTGGAGTGTGCACCATGAAAATGTCAGAATGCGCTCCACTTTGATGCAATTTGTTTTACCAAACTATCAATATCAATTCATAGGATTTACACACTCAGCCGAGCAAAATCTGCCCGGCCTCCGATAGAGATTGAACAGAAGTTAGTTAATATACAACAGAAAACATAAGATTCGAGTCATTAAGATGTTGACATGCCAATTCACGTCAATTCCTTCACCACTTTCAGCTTCTCTAAAAGTTTCACCACTAAAAATGCACACCCAAAACATATCTGAAAAATGCATGCAGAAGCAGGTTACTATGAAGGTTTTTCAATTGTAGATAAGGAAGATTGATGGGCAATGCTTCCGAAATCCACAAGAGTTTGGGGACACAAGTTTGTCTAAAGTACCACAAACTCATGCTGCAATACATTTGGTCAATCAATAATAAAACTATGCACGCGTCTTCAAGAGTGCAAAGAATCATGACTCGTCACAAATTAGTTTGGCCACAAGGAGAGTTGAAGTAGTCTAAGCCTATTTTCAAAACAACATGCTTGGTAGTTTTCAGGAACTTCCACAAATTGAAAAGAATCACAATTTAATCATATCAACAGGTTATCAATTAATTAATATTAATCAACAATATTGGAAGCACTATATTTTTGGGCTTACTCAAAACCTTTCATATTTTGGGTGACCTTTCAATATTCAATTTGTGCCACATCTAGATTAATAGGATCATACTCAAGGCGTTTGACATCAGCATGGGTCCAAGCAACTTGAAGCAACAGGAAATTACCCTTAAGACTTGTCATCCCACACAATCATTCAACAGCAAAGACAGTTTGTTTCATGTAATAGACTGCCTCGTCTTTACATGAAAACGACACCCCGACCCCAGACCCCGGGGTGGGTCCTACGTCCGCCCACACATACAACAATTCCAGAAATCCCTGCATTGAATTAGTTAAAAGTGAGAAATGTACTAAACGTTCATATCACTAGTAGGCAAAAATTGCAGCTCGGCAAAGGCAAAGCAAATCAGTGTCAGACTTTAAGTTAAAGAAAAGAACAATTAAGCTAGCAGTGTAACCCCGCTGAAAGTTTAAATCTGTCCAAATAAGTAGGCCCATGAACATGATAACTCATTATAGTTCTTGCCTCTGCAAGTTTCATTATGAAAAATGAAAAGGTAAACACTTCTCCCGAAAGGGATCCCTAATTTCAAATAATTCATGTAGTCCACCTTCTAGCGATCAATGTTGTACCACTCGCAAGGTACAAGAATGCAACCGAGACATTTTTCTCGACGTGCTTCATCCAATTGCCATTCCTAATTCAAGTCATTTATATACTTAAGAAACGAGCAATAAAAATTAGGAAACTTTGCATTCCACAATTATCTGTCCAAAAATCTAAATAAAGAGAATCCTGCAGCAAGCGAACTTCACATACATTGTTGACCCAAAAAAAAAAAATCACATACATTGCATTCCTGAGTTAAAGAAAATAACATCCCCAATTACCCACTTCTAGTGTCAAAGGTATAGTGACCACTTCCTAAGGAATAGATGCACATATATAGGCCCATGGTTACTCAGACCTCAATGAGAAGTGGCCCATGCACATATAGATGCACACATTGCCCCTATATATGGTCAACCGCTAACATCGCCCCCACTCTCAGAGAGAGACGACGACCCAGGTAAGAAAAAGATTGACGAAGAGAAAGACGTGGACTGTCCAATTTTTTCTTCATACAACAATGTTGATAACTGTTGACACCTAATTTTTAGTTGACGCATCATTAAAAAATAGAAAACTCGAGATTAAGGTTTCCGATCGCAACGGAACCCGTTTTTTGAACAAAAAGTGTTGTTTTTTAATTCCGTCTCTTGGCTTAAATTCTGTAAAAGATTTACCATGCATTTCATGCGAAAACCTGAAAAGTCATACGATTGACTTTTAAGTTGACTTTTTGGTCAACCCTTTAACCAAAAGTCAACCCCAGTCAAATTGGGGCTTTTCATACAAAAAGATTTCTTTTGAGTTTAATTTCACTTTAAAAGTGGAAATTTTAGAAAAATTCAAAGATTTGATCACAAAATCAAACTCTTAGTGAAAAGTCAACTAAAGATTTTTGACAAAAAAAATTAGAAAATACAAAAATCTCAAAATCATCTTATTTTACATTCAATTTGACTTTAGCATTTGAAATTCTACAAAAATCAGTTTAAAATCAAATTTTCCCCAATTTGCGGAATTTGGTTCAAATCGGTCAAAAATGAAATTACTTCATTTCTAGTCATTTTTTAGGTTAGTTTCCTTCATGACATTTGATCTAGAGGTTGTATTACATTCAATCTTGGAACCAATTTTGTAATTCCAAGCCAAGCGCAAAAACCCCCTAATTTAGGCCATAATCAGTGATTTTGATCAATTCTGTATGATTTGCGCAATTAAGACACGAATGAGCTTAATTTCTTATATGAAATCCAAATTCGAAATCAATTTTGGAAGATTCACATGAATTTGAGCCAATTTGATCAGTTTAGCGATCCAATGATTGAGAAATCTAAGAGTAATTGATCCAATTAGTGCAATTCAACTTGACCCATTCTAGACTAACATCCAATTTGATGAATTGAGGCTTAATTTGGCTAGTTGGACTTCAATTAAATTCGTTAGTTTAGCTTGGCTATGCAATTTAACTCAAATCAAAGAACAATTAGGCTAAACAAGTTAAATTGGATCAATTTGTGCGTGAATTTCAAATTGGTTCAATCCAATTTAATCGAATTCAATATTAATTAGGTCAATCAATCATGATAGGGATTAAATTGCACAAAATTAAAACAAATTAGGCTGAGAATTGAACCGGTTCAACCCGGTTTGACCCAAATTGAACCGGTCCGATCGAACCGGCCATTTTCCCATCGAAAATCCAGCAGTCGGCGGTTCATTCCGACTAGCCAAAGCCGGCCACATCCCCTCAAGCCCAAAATGACAAAAATGCCCTTAAATGAAAATTACAAAAATGCCCCTAAGTGAAATTACTAAAATGCCCTTCCTTAAGGATTAAGCAAATTACTTAAGGAGTAAACAAATTAATCATGGCCATTAATTTAGAATTAATCATGGCCATCCATAATGTCATGTCACCTATCTTTAGCCCTTAAGGAATATTCTTAATAACTAAGGATGCATTTTAGGCCATTAGATTGATTTAAGGGCTAGCATTCAAAGTTGGGGGATATATAAACTTTTTCCCTCCAAAATTTGAGGGGGACACTCATTTTTTCCAGATCTGATTTCTCTCTCATCTCTCTCCCTCTCTCTCTAACTCATGTTCTCTCCCTTTCCTCTTTTGGCCATGAGCTTTCCTTGCTCACGCCGACCACTTGCCGGTCGATTTCTGGCACACCGTCACCACTTCGGCAGCCGTCCAGACATCCTAGAGCCAGTGGCAAGG